CGCAGGGACCCAAACAACATCAGTAGTTGTCACCAATGGCAATTCTGTACAGACGCATATAGTGTGAGCGCTGCACCGATATAAATTGTCTAGCTCTAATATTTGGTTTTCGTAGGGCATTCCCAACAATCTTCTACGCCGACTACCCCTCTAGCTACACTCTTTGTGGGACTCTTCCAACAGTGATTGGTGGAGCTTCGACTTGCTTGCGCCAGCCGTGCGCAAGTGGTGCCGCTTATTCAGTATTCAACAACAAAAATGTAGTGCTTACATATCCATCGCATCCGCCATATGTGGCAGCGGCTGTCCGAACAGTAAGCGCCAGCGACTTGTCCCAAGATCCTAAAGGATTAATCTACGAACCTGTTTGGGACAAGGACGATCTTATGCAAGATGAAATACAACCACTCTTCCCAAGTCTGGGGTTTTGGAAATGTGATAGACCGGGAATTTTCAACGCACCAGACACTATGAAGAGTGCTGCATTGTATGTCACTGCGACATCGATGTCCACGGAGTCTGACAAAGGTCCCCCAACATCTATGACAACTCTACATGAAGCAGCAACTACCCTACCAGAATCAGGACTGTCTAGCTCGAGCAATGGTCTTTTACTCGCGCCAGCTGCGACCAGTCAAGTCGCTCCAGCAGGTGTCCAGACCGCCGCCTCTGCAGGTGGCCGCGAAGGCAAGTCCTCTTCAGAGACAGACCCACTTAGTGCGGCCACGACGTCCTCGAACTCACAAGACTTCCCAGTCATTGAGACACCAGCCATCGAACACTCTTCTCCAACCAAAGCCATTACTACCGTTCCGTCACCTGTCACGACTCTCACAGCCAACCCTCAAGACTCTCAAGGTCTGGTTGAACCATCCGTCGAGGGATCAAGTGCGGCTAGCAAGACAGGCATTTCCATTGTATTGCCTGCTGTCGTAGTCCAATCAACCGATGCTGGAGGCTCACATGCCGCTACCACTTTATCAGAAGGAAGAATTAAGACGCCAAGCAGCACCACAGTCCTTATTGATCAACCCTCAACTGCACTACCGCCAATTGCGATAGTCGCCCAGACTGTTACGGCCAGTTCACAGAGCCATTACGTTATTGGAGATCAAACGCTCACGACAGGCCAACCCATGACACTAGGCTCCGATGCCGCAGCCACAAGGATTCTGCTAAAGACATCAAGCAGCCAGACAGTACTAGTCGTAGGATCGAGCACATCTACCCCCACCACCGCTCTCACTGCAGCAGCCAGCTTCTATGTATCTCCCACCCCTTCCATCTCACTCCCGCCACTTGTCATAGGCACTCAGACTATTTCAGCGAATTCACAGGAAAAGTATATTATTGGGGCCCAAACGCTGACGCCAGGAGGTGTTATTACGGCGTCTGGGACTACTGTTTCGCTTGCATCGAGCCCGACTCAGCTGGTTATTGGGACGACTACGGAGGGTTTAGGCTGGTATATCATGGGTGGATTGGGAGCTGGGTCGAGTACCAGTGCCAGTAAAACTGGGGCGGCATTCACTGGGGCTGCGCCGGGAGGCTCGAAGGGATCGCTGAGGCTAGCGAGCTTGGTGGTGAGTTTAATCGCGCTGGTGGTGTGGCTTTAGAGAGGAAGTCCGGAAGTTGGTAGGCCTCAGCGGACCGCTTTATTGTATATATTGAAAAGCCTACTTGAATAGTGATTGTTAAGATCATGATCAGGGTGATGATGCACGTTTACTATAACATACTGGAATTACTTACACCTCCTTCCACCATGTAATGCGGAGTAAATCAGAATCATTAACCACGTTAGAGACGACCGAGGCCATATCTTATAGGGAACATCTTCACCATCACCATTCCCACACTCCCAACTCACTCCCATTTCCTCTCATAAACCCCAACCCATCCTTTATCACCTTCCCCCCAACTTCCCCACATCCACCGGCTCCTTCAAAACAACCAACTGATCAAAGTACCGATGCGGTCCATGACCTATCAACGGCTTTGGCCCTCCATAATGCACCCCCTGTATGTTCTTCACATACTTGAACCTGGCCTTCACAGTCTTTTCATTGATATCCTTCGCATCGCCATCTTTCTGCACCAGATCCACATCACTCGCCGTAACAGCCGTAGTACTACCTAGAATTTAGTAGAACCAGCCATGGAAAACTACAGTCGGGATAGGTAGGTCGGCGTCTTCGCAGAGCAGGATGTACTCCTTTGCGCCCTCTACGCGGTCCCAGGTGAAGTCTGGGAATCGGTCTTTGGAGGGTGAGTGCATTACAGCCAGATAATATCATCTAGATAAGTGCACTACAGGCGAAGCTCGTCCTCTATTTCTTGCCACCCGTTACGGACATGTTGAGGCTGTTCGCATACTCTTTGAATTAAAGGGCTGATCCTGGCGCTAAGTATATTGAAAGTCCTCTCCTATGGACTGCTTGATCTGGAAATTCCGGGATCATGGAATTGCTATTGGCAGCTGATGCAGATGCTGAATGCAGAAACATTGAAGGACAGACTTGCCTTTGGATCGCCGCATCGTCAGGACACATTGCTGCTGTTGTATTACTCCTGGACTACGGCGCTGATCCCGGAGATCGGGTGGTAGAAATCTTAAGTATGTATGGGAGCGGCCCGTGTTGGTCTAGTAGTCCTGCAGTGGTATTTCCGGAGGGATGGGTAACTGGATTCAAGGAAATCAGGCCTGGAGATTTTTTTCCAGCTGGTGTTGAGGAGGAAAGAAGGCAGGAAATCAAGTCGTTGCTTGGGAAAGCACGGCGGAGCAGGACCAAACTAGACGAAGCTGCCCAAGCCAAGATCATGCTTGGATCTGATGTTCATGAGTAAGATGACTATGTACTTCGTCTCAATGAACAAATATCCCATCAACAAATGCCGCTCAAACAGAAGCAGCAGCCCAAATTGGCGAACAATGTAAAAGGGAGCAGACAATTTCCATCTACCAGTCAATATGTTGAGCCCCCCTTTTGAGCTATCGTCCACAGTCGGCTAAAACCCAATCATGCGCTCATGCACAGCCCAGAATCGGGCATGCTGCGGACTCAGCAATTGCGTACAACGGGCCTTTCAGAATTAGTGATTCATCGAGTCTACCAAGAAAGTAGTACAGCAGGAAGTATTCAATATTACACTAGTAATGCCCGGCCAAAGGTACTGGAAGGATACTTACATCTGCTACACGTAGCTTGGACAGGCCATTTACCCTTAGATCTGTATCAACGATCTTGCCCATGGCAGCTGTGCCTGCGCACTGGGAAAAGCTTCTCCCGATGACTTTCAGCCTCCGATCGATATCTTCGTCACAGAAAGCGCTACTTGTTAGGCGCGGCTGTCCAGGTAGTGGGGTCTCTTCTTCGACAATCAATTGACTTTGGGGTGTTTCTAGCATTGTGCGCACAGCCAGCTGGAATCCAGTTCGCAGCGGCCTCCTTATCCATCTCGGTAGCCAAATAATTAGGGTCGATGACAGGATCTGAGGAGGATTCTTTGTCGGCAAGACGAACAGTGCCATGACTTGTCGGAAGTGACCCGAGAATGGGCGTGGAGACATGTGTTCCTGCAAGGCTGTGGTCAAAGAAAGCCGTGGCAGCGATTGGTGCGTATGACACGAAGAATTCAGCATGACCATGGGGCTGGGCTATCAAGGGGTCTTTCGGAGCAAGCTTGTCGATTGCCGCAGCTTTGGAGGTGTCGAGGATGGATGCTGTGACTATCCAATCAATGGGATTGCCGTCCTTGTTTCCAGGTTTGCTGAACAAGGGATGCCCAATTGCAAGACCCCTCAGGGTGCTTCAATTTCCAGTACAGTGTTCCGGAGAGATGGTTGTGGAGATCATCACCAACCGGTAGATCGATGGTTGTGTGCGTATACCATGAGAAGCCAGGTGGCTGACGGGCCAATTCCAGAGAGCCCTAGTAATTGCGGATTCTTAATGCATCCACAGCAGATGATAACTTCTTTCGTAGCTGAGAAAACACGCCCATAAATCATCTCGATCCCTTTTGCGATCTTGGCATCCTCATCGATAATGACACGCTTCACAATTATCTCCGTAAACACAGCTGTTTTGCTGAGGTGATACACCTCGCCTGCAGGTTGGCGCCTTCCCTCTCTCCATTTTTCTGTCAATGCGGCGAATCCAAAGAAATAGCCTCCATTTGCGGCGTCGTTAAAAGTGAGCCCGCTCTCACTGAGTGCGCCTCGAAGTGGTTCTCTTAGTGGATAATGGCGATCACCAGTGGTGATAACCATAGGCCCGCGAGGTCCAGGTCTTGAAGGCTCTCCACACTTTGGCCATCATGCTGGATTTCTTTCGAAGTATTTCAATAGGCCTTGATAGCTCCATCTATCGTCACCAAGAATGTGTGCCCATGTATCGTAGTCGGTTGAGTGGCATCTTGTCCGGTTGACATGATTCACGGCTGAAGAGCCTGACAGAAACCGGCCTCCATAATTAGGAATACGGCGATTTCCAGGGTTGGACTGCGGCGTTGAGAGGTAGTTGTACTCTAGCTGCGTTCCATGTAATTTCGGGGCAGCAAGTGGGGACATGATTTGCTCAGAGTAATTATTGGGTCCAGCTTCAAACAAGGCGACGCTGAAGCCGGCGTGACTGAGCCGCGAAGCCAGTATACATCCCACGGTACCACCTCCAGCAACGATGTAGTCAAAGGTTAAAGTCGACATGGTCGAGCGCGCAGAGCTTGTGGGGATGGGAATGCTTCGGACAGGAGGGTAATGTAGTTATGGAATTGATTGTACGCAGATGTTATGTCATTCACTACCCATGTTGTGCATTAGATATGTAATCATGTGACGGCGCCGAATAGCTAGGTAGTTACTGTATTAACGGGTGAGTTGGAATGTCGGTCTAAAATGCTTACTAAATATCACTTTCCGGTTTGACATTGATGCAGAACGGTTTTTATTAGTTATATAAATATATATTGTATTAGAATTATACACACTGTTGAAGGCGGGACCTGTGGCTCAATGGCAGAGCGTTGGACTACGAATCAGTACTATGACATAGATGTGTTATCCAAAGGTCCTCGGTTCGACCCCGAGCAGGTTCGAAATTTTTTTATTATTTGGATTTTTGAAGAGCCAAACGACAGTCTTTTGCTAAGAGGTTCTACAGATCAAAAAATCCCACATCTGAGTCGATGGTAACAATGTTCATGGTTGAGAAACCATGGCTTGGGAAGGCCTCAGATAAGGACAAATACTCTGGGAGCGCCAAGCCGAGCAGGCGCCCTTTCCGGGGTCTACTAACTGGGAGGCGACGCACTTTCTGATTCCTTCACACCCAAAGGAAATTGAGTACAAAAAGCGGGAGGCATAATGTACTGAAAGCCGTGCTGTGTTCAAGACAAGCTGTCTGCGCCCTATGAACATCAGGAAGAGGTTGCTATGGCCCCCAGATGGACTTGTCTCACACTCTCTTGACTTTCGCTCTCTGCATTCAGCCGATATCCTGCCTCCTTTCACTCATCTCTTTGACCCGCCTTGTTGGATTCCTCCACTCGTAATCTGTGTTAATGGAAATTGGGTGCCCCGCATTGAATTGCATGTTACCCATTCACTACTCAAAAATCACCCTCCCCCGGCAGATGGCGAAATCACCAAGCGTATCACCTTCGTGAAACTACTGATAAAATGTGGCAATCCTTGGCGATCCAGGTTGCTGCGTGCGCTGCATCGGGACTCCTCTGGCCACCGAGGAGATTATACTCGATTATGGAGTTACCATCCGACCTTGTTCCTACACGGGTCCAATTCTCTTTCTCGGTGTCAGAATTCAGAGTTTCAACATTAGCACAACTACTTATCAGTAAATAAGCAATCATTTCGGCTCAGGCATATCATGGGTGAGAGACGATTTTTCGTTAGCCGACAAAACATTTTCCAAGGCCGCTTCCGCGAACGGTGAGAATGAGAATGTGAATGATTTCGCTAGTACGCGTTGGTGGCGTGGCTATCCGTCATCTCTGGAAAGGACACCCAAAGCTCGTCTGGACTCAACTGCCTGAATTGACTTTAGTAAGACATGGCTGCACAAGGCCATTACTACGGAAAAATGTGGAGGTAACTCGATTGCTCTTGTAGGTCTTGTAGGTAGAGGTCTCAGGAGGTCTGACATCTTGGACTTGACGTACGGTAAAATATCCCGCGACAACAGTCGAGGAATGAAGCGAATTCTTTCGGAATTTTGAAACCGTCAATATCTGGATCGAGACTTTCATTGCCCGATCATACTTCATGATCCTCGCGGCAAGAAGTCGAGAGGCGATAGCTCAACCCAGAAGATGACGACGCCCGCGATCTGTGACCCAACTATGGGGAGTTGCAGCTTGGGAGCTATCACGCTTCGCGTCGATAAACCCAATAAGTTGATACTATCCGTTAAGTTTGCAAAGTGAAGAAGTCCGCCATCAATTTATGTGCGTGTGATAAGATTATCATTGCCACCCGTTTGTGTCATCGCGTCCTTGTGTTACCGCCTCCGCAACATATCAGCTTCCTCCTACCTTGCTTCTTTCTCAAAACTTCTAGCTTTACAATTCCTTTGCAGTGCAAATTATCTGTCATGGATTCAGAGCAACTCCAGTCAGTCTGTAGCGCTGCCGAGGACTCATGCACGACTGTCGAAGATTACCTAGAAAAGCCCAACGACCGTGCTGCGAGATTGAGAGCGCTTCGTGATGCGAAGAGGCTCGTCACTGAACTTCAAGACAAGGACGATGCGTTGTTTGCACCGATTGAGCACGTTAGTGAACACGAAGAAGAGAGATCGATAACTACGCTTCTATGCTGATCAAACGCAGGGTATTGCAGCGTATGCATTGCGGTTCATGATGTCTATCGGGGCTTTCCAAAAAATACCAAAGACCGGGAGCATCACGGCTGCGCAATTGGCAGCAGATGTGGGCTCTGAGAAATCCTTGATTGGTATGGCTTTCTCGAAATCTGCTCAGGCCACTGTGGTCGTAGTCCGAATTCATCTGACCATTCCCCTAGTTCGAATTATGCGAATTCTTATTGCAGCAGGGGTGTTCGAGGAGGTCCAACAGGATGAATATAAGCATACACGGCACTCGATTAGCCTTCTAGAACCCGGCTACGGAGAATTTTTCGAAATCATGTAAGTCTTTCAAGGGTTTTCATACGCGCCAGCAGTGCTATCACTCTGCCACAACGTACTTCACATCTAACTAAGCAAATCTGTCCTCAGGGTGGATGATTTGTTCTACACTTGGTCGCGCCTTCCCGAGTATTTCGAATCTCACCGTTTGGAATCTCCATCATCACCAACCCACAATCCCCGCTCTTGGTCATACGGCATGGAGGGCCATGATTGGGCGACAGTCGTAGCGCGGACGCCAGAGAAGCTAGAGAAATTCAACATTGCTATGAGTGTAAGTAGTCCTTTAGATCTGGACCATAAAAGCAACGAGACTTTGACACCGATCCCTAGGGGAAATGGTCCGCTGCTCCCGTGATTGGGACTTATCCATTTGAGACCGAACTGTCCTCACTTTCCGCTGCGGTGGTGAAGCAAGACAGGGTTTTTCTGGTCGACATAGGTGGAGGCCAAGGCAGAGCCATGAAAGAACTTCGCGAAGCCTATCCAGCGCTCAAAGGCAAGACAGTCATCCAAGATCTCGCCCGAGTCGTCGACAACATTCCATCAGGCTTGCTACCACCAGGGCTGGACATTCACCACCAGGTCCACGACTTTTGGGCGCCGCAGCCGATTCGAAATGCCGGTGTCTACTATATGAAGCGGATCTTACATGACTGGCCGGATGACCAGTGCAAGAAGCTGTTGGGGCATGTTGTTGACGCTATGGGGCCCGACTCGAGACTGCTGATAGCGGACACTGTCATTCCGGACCGTGTGCAGAGAGAAGATTTGTATTGCTACTGGATGGACATGACGATGTTGACGTTCGCAGGGAAGGAACGCAGTGAGGCTGATTGGCGGGATTTGTTTGAGTCGGTGGGGTTGGATTTGGTCAAGGTTTGGAAAGAGTCTGTAGGAACTTTTAACACGATAGAGGGTCGATTAAAGAGGAACTGAGGCATGTCGAATGACATGGGTGGCTATAAGTTTTGAATTCATGACTCTTCGATTGCATCATGTGTGTAGGATGAAATGATAGAAAATTAACAATGTTTTATTGATACGTATTTCCTGGGTAAGGTAAGTACATCTCAATTCTTTGGCGTTATGATCGGCTTGTCCCAAAAATTTACAACTAATAGACAATCTCCTCAAAGCTATATCAACGGCAGCTAGTGTACCAGGCACTACTAGCTACCTCGCCGCCTATTATCCCAATTCTTATCCACCTCCCTGTCGATTTTGGCTGCTCTCTGTTCGCTTCTGGTGTATTTTGGCACAACCTTCAGCACGCCATTCGATTGTGTATGGCCGCAGGAGAAATGAAAGTTGTAATTTCCAGGCATCGTGTGGTATGTTCGAGACTTTTGGTGAAGATTCAAACGCCGTGTCTGACGACTCTGATCGGTGGCGTATTCGTGTGGTGTCTTGCAGGAATTCTAGCCCATTGCAATCTTGACTTGAGATGCCAAGCGCTTTATGTATTTGCAGAGGCAAAAGAAAGGGCATTCTCTCGTGTCAGTTGACAATGTCGGGGGAACAATAGCTGAAGAATTGCATTTGCGTCTCTTGCTTTGAAGATAGCGCGCTATTGTTTTCTCTCTGCAATCAATGGCTTCCTTTCGCCTCCTGGCATTCCCCTTTTCCTCTCAATGGCTTTCTTCCAATTCATGTGGCCATCATTCAGATGATCGTGGAAGCCACAAAGGCCGTTGTGCTCAAGTGACGAGCCCACATATGAAGGCTTTTAAAGTCGTTGCGAGGAATTCAGTTGGGCAGGAAAGGACCGGACTATCTTGTGAGTGATAGAAGAGGTGTCAAAGCCTTGACTGGGAGACCATATTTTCAAGACAGATATCAATGTTCCAGACGATGAAAATAGAAACACATGACACAACACTGCGAGTACTTGCCACAGGTGGAGAAAGGGCGCAAAATTGCTCAAAATTAGTACCTAACACCCCCAGAGATGAAAATTTCGCTATATCCTTAGGCACAGCTATCAAAGACTCAAATTCGCACCATCCTGCCAACATGGATTCCTCTCGCCTTGAACTCCAGCGCATGGAATACAATACGGAATTCAAGCGCTTGGACGAAGCCTTGCAGGCCCACGCCGAAACCAAGAACAAGCTCAGAAGCCTAGAAATGGAACAGCTCGAGTTAGACCTCCAATTCACTGCGCCACAAAACAGATCCAGACGCCTATCTGAAGAGCATAACCTAGTCCGGCAACTCATCAAAAGATTCAGCGGCGGGCGCGTACCGCGGCCGGATGCGAATGATCCTATTACCATGGCCTTCTGGTCTATGCAGATCGATCAGCTTACTGATGGATGTAGGATATCACTTGCTCGATTGGAAGTTGAGATGCTTCAATGCATGGAGGATGTAAAGGAGTTGCGCAAGAAGAGTAAGTGCCGGCCTCGAGAAATGGCCACTGTGTAACTTTCATACCGACGAAGCTTAGGCCACAGCCTTGAAGGCCCTGTCTAGGAACTTGAGAGCTTGGCCCAGGAGCTGGAAGACTTGATCCAGGAGCCTGAAAGCTTGATCCTGACGGAAATGACAGATCGGGGCTTTTAAGCGTTTGGAGGTTGGTTTGTGTGCACAAAGGAGATCCGACACGTTACAGCTGACGCCGAGCCCTTGGAATTCTAACACATATCGGCTTTCTGGGCGATAATGATGGAAAGTCGAAACACAACACTGGTCCCTGTCAAGCGTGAATTTTGCCACCTTCAAGTAAGCTGCAACACTACCACGAACACTGGTCTACAAAAGGAGGCCCTGGAAACACCCAATATGACTGGAATCAGGCTTCTTCTTCTCTCCAACATTTCCGGACCTCCTCTCAACCTCCAACCAAAGCCATGGAAGGCCTCTTCGAAACCGAAGTCAAGCTTGAAGGCCTTCGTAACGAGCAACTCCTGCTGGATGCCGAAGCCG